GGGAGCCCTCTGTTCATGTCTGACTACAAGACCATAGGCAGAAAGTGTGCAGTAGCCACAGAAAGACCATATGGGGCAAAATCCCTTGCTGATTGCAGATGCAGTGCCCTATGTGTGCCAGAGGAGAGGAGCAGGACACTGCTGGTGTTGCTGGTCCTGCAAACACAGAAAGCTAAGGATCCAATTCAGGGTACAATACAGATAAAACCCAGGCTAGCTTCCCATGCTTCCTCCATAAACACAGAGTCGTTTAACCTAAAATATAGGAGCACAGCTTACAAGCCAGGCAAGAAATATTTCAATACCACTGCCAGGAACAATAATATACTGTACCACAGACCTTATTTCCCAAGGTGGGTACCCCAGAACAGGGCAAAAAGCCTCCTCGCTCTCATTCCCTGAAGTTACACTGGGAGCAGAGAGGAGTACTGGCTTTCTACAGAGCATGTTTTTGGTCAGGAATCTCCATACCAATAGCTAGAGCTCTTTTGAATACACTTGTGTCTAAGAGGGTGCAGAGGGGAGGGTAACCCTAAAGCCTGCACCCAGCAGAGGAGCAGGGAGGGGCTGCCTCAATGCAACTCTGCCAGTCTGAAAAGCCCTTGATTAAAGAGCGAGCCACAGTTAGGGCTTAATGTTCTGTAAGGGTGAAGAACGTGGATGTGGGAATCATTCTCTGTTGCCATGACCGACAACCAGCTCAGGGTTTGTCAGCTGGTTGTAGCGAAGGGGTTGAGTATTTTTTGTAGCTAATGCAAGCTAATTTATCCTACACTGAATACTCTACTTTTGTTAAAGTATTTTCCACATAGTGGCTTGAGACTGAAGATTTCTACCATATGCCATATTCAATTATCTCATTATATACTGAGAAAAGCAGTGATTGGAGAAAGAAAAACAAAGATTGGTATAGACATATTTATGAGATTTAAAATAAAAATGTGAGGTTTATATTTCCAGGAATAAAAATTAAGCAGAATTTTAAAATACCACAGCTATGCTCTTTAATGGCCCATACTCAGCTGCTCCTGCAGTCTACCAGAAAGGATAAATATGATTTTTGATCGTAACATCCCTGTGGTAGAACAACAGACTTTCCATGCAGGGTTGCTACTTGGACCTCACTCTAACTACAATCTCCTCCTTGCAGAGCCAAATTCAGGGTTCAGAAGGACAGATAAAGCCAGTATCTGGCTGACCAGGAGCATGAAAATGCAGCATGGCTATGGGCTGGAGTGCGCCCCAAAAAAACTGGAGCTGGGCAGTGGGTGAATGAATCAAAGGCGCACAGATATCATTAAAAATTCAGCACAGAATTAAAAATTCAGTACATCTAACTTCTTGGGCGCAGCTAGGGGAAATGCCCAGTGATGCTGCTCTGACAGCGCAAAGGTTCAGAAAAGATGCTCACCCTGAGCGCAGGCAGCTCGATGAGGAAAGAAAAACTGCTTCAATGAGCAGTGCCCAAGGCTGTACCCCCATCTACCCCTGTCCCGCCTCCAGCGATGGCCCCACGCGTGACGCTGGAGGCAGCTACAGCCACAGAGCTGGCACAACACACACAGAGCTGCGCTGCCCCAGCTATCACCTGTCAGGCTGGGACTTACCATCCCACTGAATGAGCCTGTCTTCCATAGACCAAGTTGCTTGGGGTGGGGAGGGGGGGGGAGGGTGGTTCCGAACTTACATCAACATTTCACACCTGGAGCATCCCCTACCGAGGATTACCAGAGGCTAAGAGGCACCAGCTGTCTCCCCAGCGCAGTTTGGGCATTACCGCCCTGCGTGCAGGAGCTGCAGGACATGCTGTCTCCCGGGGCACGGGCCGGCTGCGGGACGGGGGAAGGGGGGGAGGGAGGACGGGGGCGGCGAGCAGTCTGGACCCGCGGTGTGTTGGCAGAGGCTGCCCGAGGTGTCTCCCTTGGCTCAAGGCAGGCGGACCCCGGCATCCCTCGGCCGCCCGGAGCCCCGGCAGGCAGAGCGGCCCTGTGGCGGCCGCGCTCCTCGGGCGCCGCCCCGCGGCCCGGCCCGGCCCTGCCCGGCCCTGCCGCCACACGGCCGTGCCCGCCGCGCCCCGGGAGCGACGGCGCGGGCACCTTGTCGTGCCCCATCGCGCCCCGCTGCCGCCACGGGAAGCCTCGAGAAGGGGCTATATCGGCCTTCGGTGTCTCAGGCCCCACTGCCAAGAACTCCACTGAGGAACTGCTCTCGCTTCACCCAAAACACGTGGGTTGTCTTACCTGTCAGCTTTAGCACCGCATCCCCCCACGCAGCTCCCACACCTGCCATTCCTCACAGATCCAGTGCGGTAACCACGCTACCCACCCCCCGCCCCCCACGCCGTACCGCTCTACTGAACCCACGCAGGATTTGCCTGTACCATGAGAAGCCCCACCTGCAGAAACAGGCTCGTCCCATGAATTCTGGTCAGCAGCATTCCACCTAGTGGGCAAGAAAGTGCTATAACTTGCCAAGCGAAGAAACAAGGAGAAGTGACAAAGCCCTTCCAATTTAGATGACTTAATATTTGCCTGTTATTTTTACCTCCACAGAAAGCTCCATCAAACCACCTCCTTCCAGCATCCCCAAACCAAAGATGGATGAGTCTCTACTCGTTGAAAATCTATTTACTGGAAACATAGCAGGTACTGGACAGAAATACGAAATACAAGAAGGGATGTCATAAGAATAAGGGCAACACAAAATCAAAGTATATAAAAAGCAAATTATTTTTTCAGAATGCTAGCTTTGATGGTCCCTAAAATATTCAGAGGAAAGTAAGAAAACAAACAAGAGACCTCCACTCACCAAGCTTCTTCAAGAAGAGATCCAAACAGTCATTACTATGGCACCCGTTCATAGATTTACAACCCCAGAAAACTTTGCTTTATCCATGCCAGACTCCGGGCCAGCAGGTTAGGTGACTTTGGCAGCACTTTGCATCACCAGTGGGCTTGTGTGCCTGTCCTTGGAGGCAGCCCACAGATGATGCTGATAGGATCTCTCTACACCCTTGAGAGTTCACATTCTTGGTTTTCTTGAATAACCACCACGAGCAGCTTAACTTGTCTCTTCAGTTAGATTCAGCGCCCCTTAATGTCCTGCTGACTCCAACCTGCTCCGCTGGGTTCTTAATACCTGACAGAGGCCCCCCTTTGGCATTGTGCTACTGAGAATGGGCAGGAAGGAACAGGAGTTGTTCCAGTGACTACAGTGCCTCTGGGTTTGTCATCACAAGCAGACCTCATATGGATTACAGTCTGGCAGCAAATTAATTTCTACAACCTATCTCAAAGATAATCAAAGATATCACTGGACACCGTCCTCCTTGGACACACACACAAAAAGCTACACAATAACCTTTTTCTATCCATACTTTATTGCAGGTGTACATATAATTATTTTTACTTTATTTTAAACAAGCAATTCCTTTCATGGAAAGGAGAAACTTTTACCATTAAAATAGAGTGATTATACCACAAGTATTTTACAGATATGTACAAATATTGGCAGCTAGTTTCTAACTGATGTTTACACACTAATGTCTACCAAACTATCAAACCCCAAAATAAAAAGAGACCTAAATCCAAAGACAAACAAACAAACAAACAAATCTACTACTAGCAAAAACAGGTGTGGTTTTTAATATGAATACAAAAACTTGCATAATAGATATTCACAGTGCTTGGAAGATATTAATTCATTCTCAGACTATACACAAAAGTGTCTGGTCTCCCCTTCATATGCATATGTCACTTATAGTACTGGAGGGGTCTGCACACACCACTGAGAAAAGAAGATGGCCAGACCTGTGGAATTTGCCTTCCCCACCAGCCATGAATACAGGTACATACAAGGCAGTGGATGCTCATGCAAGTCAACTACACTGTTTTCAGGCATTGGTGTATTTTGTAACGAGTGGCAGCAGCATTACAGCACTTCACCAAATCCTTTGGAAGCCTGTTAACTGCAAAATCAGAATACCAAGCTGCCTGGTGGCAATAAACACTTCAGTGATGTGGTTAGGCTGTGTTAAGCAGGTGTGAATGTGATTGTCTTTGAGACAAGTGTGCACATGGTGCACATGCATTTTATGACAGTTTTCCAAACAACTACACACTGATTTTTTGACCTTTTTGTCTTATTAACAACCACTGCCAGAACCATAAGTAACCATAGGTCTGCATGGGTAGGAGAGTTTAGCAGGCCTGTTGCTCCAGACCCTGCCCTCCCACCTTTTCCACAGACAGATGGGCATTGCCGCAGTAACACCCACCGCTCCAGCTCTGTAGTAGATGCAAAAGCAAGGCTCTTGCACTGCTACAAGGGTGCTCCCTGCAGTGCAGCCACTGGACTCTGGCTCTGGCCATTCCCCATGGCTTACAGCCAAACAGGACCCAGGTAACAGGGAGCGACAGACAGCGGGAGGCTTGACTGGACTGTTCAAGAGCAGACAGCCAGATTTTCTTTATCCATTTAGATTCATTTAGGAGAGTTTATTTTGGATGCAGTAAACATACCTCAAGTACTTAGTAAAGGCATTTTGGCTTTGTTTGGAAGAAAGGAAAAGAGGCTATAGTGAACACACAGCTCCTAATTTTCATTACAAAAAGAAAGAACAGCGTGATCAAAGAGGGCACAGTCAATTAAGTCATGGTTGCAGTGAGCCTGTGCCCACCGTTCATTCCTCAAACACACAGCTAGGGTTTAGTGCTGGATTCATCTCAGAGGAAGTACAGCCTCTGATGCCACTTCAGCAAATGCAGATACACCTGCACGCTCTGCCTCTACACCACACTCACACTTGCATAGAAATAGTGAGATGATGGACTCCACGGATTAGCTATTTTAACAGCTTATGGGAATGCAATTTACCAGACAACTACTAAGCCTGCAAGCCCACCATCAAAGCAGCAGCTCAAACCTTCCTCATCACGGTCTGGCTTTCCTTCCCCTCCTGAGTTTGTCTATCTTCAGGTTTTGAGTGATCAACACTGCACAACACACACTTCCTCAACCAGCAGAATAGCGTCCCCTAGCTTTTAGAATTTGCCAAAACACACTTGCAGGGTTGTCAAAAGCTGGGCACAGGTTACACAAACCTTCAAGTACAAGCTTCCCAAATGCTGAGAATTGATGGGGAGAGGAGGTACTGGGGAAAGATAGGGGAGGAAATCAAACATGTTTATTTGCATGTAACAAGGTAGCAGGATGTTTCTCACACCAAATGCCTGAATCATTACCATTATTTTCCTAGTGAAAGCCAGCACAGCCAGCTCCACCACTCTCAAGATCACCAAACAAGTGTCCTTAGTCTGGCACACAAACAGCCTACACTTCCACCACCATCATCAGCCCTGGAGCACTACACACACATATTTGCATGACCTATCCATGACTAAGTGGGACACTGTCACTCTATCTGTTCTTACAAGGCAACTTTCTTCAGTCCATACTTGCCTTCTAAGCAGAGGAAAAATTTCTAAGGAACAGATTTATTAAAAACAAACCAAAAAAATAACATAAAAATATGAATCAAAGTAAGGGGTGATCATGCCTGGACAAATTCTCCAGTCACACTCCTGTCTTCAAAAGCCAGTCAATTAACACTCTTGTCTTCTGTACTCTCAGAAGCAGCCAAGTCATTTGTTTTATCCTCTCCCCATCTATCCAAGGATATAAGCATTTATTTATCAATCTGCACCACAGCAGTAGTAGACAGCTGAGAGACAGTTCCATTTGTTGCAGTAAAGAAAAAAAAGACAAAAAAAAGGCCGCACATTGTATTTGGCTGGATGCTTAGAACAAAACAAAACAACAACAACAAAAAAGAGGAATAAACTCCTGGCAGAGCAGGTCTTGCTCCCAGTGAAGCAAATAGGCAACCTGCGTTCATTATAACAGGAACAGGCCAGACACTTCCATACACAGCCCTCCAAATGTGCTCAGAGTATATCCTGGCCTGATGGCTGTTGGCAGTGTTGCAGCAGCACAAACTCAAGACAACCAAACTATCTGTACACTAGCATTAACAGACATGGACCACAAGACAAAGGCAGGAAGATAAACTGACATAGACTTTAAATTTCATTCTGATTAATCCATTTAGACAGAGTTTGCTTTACCAGCTCAGTGTCAGTTTTGGTCCACTGTTTTTTTTTGGTTATGGTGGTTGTGTCACTGCTAATAGTGCAGGCTACTTCCATTTTCTGCTCAGATAGACACTTCCAATGTCAACGTTAAGTGCTACACTCGTTGATTTGCCCTGTAGTCAGGTCTGCAGAAGTGATGCCACTTACTGATACGGAGCTGAATAACAAAACCGCTCACAATCTCCTGCAAGAACCAGAGTGACATCACATGTGTGAATGAGGTATATATTTCCATAATGAGCTGTTTCCTGGTATGGAAGAGCTCCAATCTCATTACACCACAAACTCCTCTGGGAGCTGGTCCTCTCCCAGAAGATCTAAGGAGAGGCAGTTCATGGACCGCTTCCCGTAAAGGGCAGACTTGGTTTTGCAGTCCGCTGTGGAATAAACACAGCCATAAATAGACAGCTTATCCTCCAGACTGCAGCCAAACGTGTAGCTGTGGGACGTGTCTGAAGACAGTGTGGCACTTAGTGGTGGGTGCTGGTGCTTGTAAAGGCGGATGTCATCCAAACTCTGGCTGTGCTGGTCCATGCAGCTCCTGCTTTTGGGCGATCTGACCTGTCAGTTCACAAGACACACATGAATAAAAACAATGAGCTCAGATACAGCCTAAGGATGCTGGCTATGTATGCTACAAATTTTCCAAAATTGTTCTTCCACTCTTTCAAAAGAGCCCCACCAGTCTTCTGAAGGATGTTGGCTTAATGAAGAAGCTGTGAACCATTAAAAAATTACAAGTGGATTAAGCTGCCCTATCATGTTGAGCCAGATTCTGATCTGTCTGCACTGTGTCCTCAGTGTCCAGCACAATGGATGGAACACTTGACAGATACTGACACCTACATGACCTGACACTTCTTGGCAGATCCATGCAGTCGTCTTCAAATGGACAAACTGCACTTAAAACAAAACTGCCCCAACTGCTTGAACACACTGAGTTAAGTCTAATGACTTAACTATACAAGCTGTAGTGAGTCAGCCTCTGTAAAGGAATTATTGACCATTTGAGACATTTCCAACTTCACTACTTGTTTCTTTTCTTCCTCTTTAATAGTCATCTCTTAAATGCTAATAATAAGGCCGATTTCAGGAATATCATTCTGAAACCAAGACACTTCTTTTGCACCACAGAAAACTTCTTCCCAGTATCGCTTCTCTCACCGCCATAGGAAGGGCATTAAAAAACCACTCAGAAGGAAACCCCGTGTTGGCTCAGCTGTACTCCCAGAGTCAGAAATATGTTGCATGGTTCTGTCAATGCTAAGGAAACCCTGCAGCATTTAGTTACGTGGCCTTGTAAGAAAGCTTTTGGTGGTTTTATAAGGAGGCACCAAATATTTGATGAAGACCTGGCAGCCAGGTCTTTGCAATTGTATAGAAGTATTGATCAGAAATATTTTTATAAAACAGGTGCCTCCCAGTCAACTAACAGGGTAAGCACGTGTTAGTAACAGCAGTAAATTAAAAAACATTACTTTAAGTAAGATGCCTACTTCCAGCCTTGAGCTCTTAAGCCGTCCACTCAAATATAGGCATAAGTTCACTACGATTTGTACTGCATGGTCTTTAACTCTGGGAAAAAAACCCCAAAATTTTATTCAAATCTACTATAGCACTTTACAGACTGTATTGCTGATAAGTGAAAATTTCTTATTACTTTTGACTGGGTCCTGGAAGAAACATGAAATACTAAAAAAAAAAAGTCCTAAGAAGTGATTGAAATCCTTGTTCCAATTTTTACAATTCTTTCACCAGGTGAGGCAAATTTGGATTCAGAGAGAAAAGAAAATATGGAGGCTTTTTTTTTGATTTGTTTGTTTTCCAAAACTCCACAAAATTTCCACCCCAGTGGGTGCCGCTACACTTTAAATAGAGAGGCCTTCAAAAGACATTTTAGTAAGATTTTTCCAAATAAAACTCATTAAACTATGTACTTTGCTATATATAATTGCCCTTTCTCAAATGGTTGATGAAAACTTTGACAACAAAGACTTCAGCACACACAGAGTATAATCACACAAATGATATAATAATTACAGCTTGAACATCTGGTTTTGCCCCAATGTGAGCTACTTCTGGCTTCAGAAGCAGGAAGATGATTAAGTTTGCAACCCACACCCAAACTGCATGGATGGTCTTTGCTCTGTAATCCACTGAAAATCTAGAAGTGGTTGATTTTCTATTTCCCATCCAGAAACCTAAGGTAGACAATAACTGGCTTGCAAGACTTCCACGCTTTGCTTCCATGATTGCTCCAAACCTCTCTAGACTATTCTGAACCCAAATGCTGCTCTCATCCTATTCCTGAGAGCAGTAGCAAGCCAACACCTGGTTTTGATTACACCATTTAAAAATGAATCGAATCCAGACCAATTCAGGTCACTTGATCAACAGCTGTCTCCATTACACTAGACCTTGCTTCAATGCCCACACACATGCCAGACCCTCCTGCTGAGCACCCCCCTCCCTTACCTGGTGAAGGGATTCCACGCTTTGGCCTCTCATTTTGATTAGCGTGACTTGCACCACAGACAGCGATCCGTCATTTATAGCTGAAAAGGAGAAGGAGAAAGGGAAATGCAATGCAAGTTTGAGGTTTTGTGGGCTGCAGAAAAGGGAAGTTGTTCTCACAGGCCACATTCAACCCTGCTCTCCTCTAAATATAAATATGCATCAGTAAGCACCCTCACTGCTCCAGGAATTTCGCTCACAAGTACTCCTTTTTGCCCCTGAAGATCAATGTTTAAAAACTTTCAAGGAAACAGTTTCTCACCAACATTTCCCATTTTCACCCATTTTGCTTTACAATAAGGGCTATACATCTTAAGGCCAGACAGCTCCTGCATGATCCTGTTGTCTAGCATTCCCTGTATCACAAGCCACAAAACTTTACCTATGAATTCCTGTGACTAGCCCATTTTCCTGTGGTTGAACCCCTTGGCTGTTTTGTGGTATACAAGACTTTAAAACAAATTCCTTCACTAAAAAGGATTTACCTCAGTTATCTTTTGGTCATTAACTGAATATAAACTTGGCACATTTGGAGAAGGGAGACTTAGAGGAGCACAAAGAAGAGCAGCACTGTACAACATGGAATGCTGCCCTTTAACCTCTAGATGAACTAACTGCAAATCCTGTTGCAGAAGGGCAGTAAGTAGCACTGGCAGTTGTTTGGAAGAAGATAAGAGCTTTCTTAGGTCCCTCAGATTATGCCTGTTGCTAGAGCCTTGAAGAACAGTACTGAGCAGTACCAGAACACCATCTCACCTTGGCAGCTAGCAGCATCTAAAGGCAGAGATTCAACAGATTCTCCCACAGTGGCCTCCTCTAACTGGTCTCCCTCTAAAGGCTCATCTACAGGCATCTCCTCTGGCTCATCTACTGCCAGTTCAAGCTCTAGGAGAAAGAGAGCAGCAGGAGAATAGTTAGCATTACACTTGTGCTCCAAGCTGCTGTACACACTCTTACTCCCGACTCTCCTGCAGGAGAAGACAAAAATGGGCTTAGAAGTCGCTCCGCGTCTCCAAATTCTTTACCATCATCCCGAGTGTCATCTTCAGCCCGCCCTTTGCTGCCACTGTCAATGCCAGAGCTACCGTAGCTGATGGTTGAGCTGCAAGATTTCTCTTTCCTATGCACCCGATCAATGCCGAAGGGCTCATCCACCGACATTTCCACTGACACCCGGTGCCTGGAGTCAGCCTCGATGCCCGATGTGTGGGAGCTGCCATGGCTCCCTGTGGACTGGCGTGAGAGGCGGTTGTCCCTCTGGCTGCCCCCACTGCTCCCGCTGCCACGGGAGTTCTTGTCGCAGGGGTCCAGGTCCATGTCTAGCGTGTCACTGATATAGGACTCCCGGTAGCGCTTCTTCTCTGGAGAAGAAAGAAGAGAGAAACCAGTGGGAACTTTAGGCAAGACCAAAGGAAGGGCAGCAAAAATATTCAGTAAGTTCTGGGACTGGCACGGCCTCACAACTAAGGAACAACTCCTGCAGCTACTAAATAAATAGAGGGAGGACAGTTTTGTATTTTGTTTGTTCAACAGATATGGGGATGCCCAGCTGGTTGTAAAGGAATTAGTCATATTCACAGTAAACCAGCATGTTCCCAATTAGAACAGGCAGGTAGAGGCAGTTATGATACAGAAAACAGCAGGGTCCACGGTGAAGAAAAGGTCAACTAAAAATAAACAAACCAACAAACAAAAAAATGAGTGACTTACTTAGCTAACTTAAGTGCTCAATCTTTAAAACCGGATGCATTGATTGATTCTTGAAATAGTCACCAACATGTGGAGTCAGCAAAGAACAGAATCCCCACAGCTGGTGTTTATTAATGATTTATTATTTCTCCCATGGCTTGTACGTGCTGAGGGTGGTCAAGAAATCCATGAGACTCTAAGAGACACGAAACAACCTAGGGCCTTTTGCCCACAGGCACATGATCAGTGAGCCTTTCTACAAGTGACTTGCCTATGTCCTTGGACAAGAGGACCAGCTACTCTTTGACCGCTGCTGACGTTTAAGGTAACCATACAAGGCTTACAAACTTCAGAGAAGACAAAGTATCCCCTTACCAAACCCATATGGTTGTTCCTTAACATACCTTCAGCCTCCTCCAGTTTTTGGATCTGCTTCAACACGGGCTGAATATTCAGAAAGAGCCGGTGACTGTTGCTGAGTAGCTGCAGCAAATGCCTTGACCTGAAGGGGCAGCCTGTGTAGTAAACCAGTTTCCTTGCAGAGGGCAAGCCATCTGGCTGTATCTCAAATTTTTTCCCCTGCACATAGAGGAGAGATGCCAGAGAAATGAGCAAGAGCATGTTTCCAGCCACACAGCTACCAGAGATAGCTGTGGTCTTGTGCATGCAAGTGACAGGACTTGACGTGGCAGCGCGGGTAGGCTGACAGCTTTGCCACATCCCAGGTTGACAGCCACTGCCAGATGGCCTCCATTCCGTCATACTCACCAGAAAGGCCAGCTTCCCAATGTGCGACCAGGGAAAGTCATAGAGGAGCTGGCGAACGTGATTCACCTCCTGCAACACATCAAACTCAGAGTGACACAGGGACTGGCAGGTACAGGGTGGAGTCAGCGATGTGCAAAGAATTTGCAAACAACCAAGAATTTGAGATATGTGGAGCCTGGTGTTCACAGGGGAGGCAGAGGAGCCACGGTGAGGGGGGAGGACAGGGGAGCTGGGCAGAGTTAATGCTACACCAGAAGGCTTTCACAGCAGTCTGTTACCTGATAGATGTGCATTCCTCTTAGGGTCAGGCCCAGGATAACCGTTGGTCGATCCTCCTTCTTATCCTAAAAGAATAGAAGAGCCTGGAGTCAAAGGTTAATCTACAAAGACCATGCCCTTGTTCTGGCACCTACTGCAGAAGAGGTAGCAGGACTCCTCATCAGGCAGATGCCATCAGCTCATTTGGTTTTTATTATGTTTGTAAAGAGCACCTTGCCTTGTTGACCCCTGAAATATCTACACCTAAAATCCCCTTGTGCTGGGAGACTCAGGCATTCCACCAGCACATGTCCTAGCTGCCCTGGACAGGGAATCCTGTAGCTTTAGTGATTTGAGAGCATGGACAATCACTGCTCTCAGAGGTACCTCATTACCTCTCACACTGCCATGTGCTGTCTCTGCTGTCCCCACAAACATGCACCATTTTTGCTCTCCAGGTAACAGAGAGGTCAAAACAGAAGAGACACCCATCCCCTCTCCTTGCCACAGCACTGCTGTTCCCATCTAGGGACTTGGTAGATCTTAGGTGTCCCTTGGCTGGGGATCTGTGTGTGTGGGGGGGGGAGGGGGGCGGTAATCAATGCTCAGAGTTATGGGACTTTCCTTCTAATCTTTAATCTGGGTTTTGAGTGCAGGTGGTTTTACATGTTTGCATCTGGCAGCAATTCTGCCTAGCTTTTAGCTCATGCTGCATCTTGCTATGACACATTTGGTCTCTGATAAGATTCCTCTGCTTGAAGACAAAAAAAATATTATAAACTAATTCTTTCAGCCTCTCCTGGCACAGCAGAATTAGGGAAGGGAAGACATGTTTTTGCTGGGAGGAGAAGGAAGAAGAAAATTTTGGGGGTAAAAATTTATGGGCTCGCAGAGCTCTAACTTAGCATCATAGCCATCTCTCCTTATCTGTCTTGCAAGATGCAAGCCTTGTGCCATCACATTGCCTAATATTAGGCACAAGCAACAATCCAGGAATCCAAAACTGACATATAACTGAAAAAACATCAACCAGTCTGACATGGTTGGAGAATGAAGGGGATAAGAAAGTTGGAATGACTGTCACCTTTGGTTATTACATGACATTTGTGTGAAAGCTGGCTGACCTCTTGTCGTTATTTCAGTGAACTTCAGCAAGGGAAAAAAAGGTTTCTCTGATTTCCCTGGTACAATTCTACCAACAGGCAGGGACAAAAATTAAGTTTTGCCATTCCTGTGGCAACTTTCTTGGCCAAGAAACAAAACTAAATTCCAGCTATAACTGTATATTGGCAACGGATTTGTTTGTGGGGACAGGCCTCATTGGCTGAGCATTTTAGATTTGTTTGGCCTCTCTGAATCAGAGGCAACGATCCCTCAAAAAAACAGAAAGAGAAAAATGCAATGGTGCACTCAATTAATGATGGGAGAGAAGTTCAAAATAAGAAGCTCTTTGTCTAACCTTCTGCAGCCTGTAGAAGTGGACTGGCACATCTTCCAGTAGGCAGGACTCCTTAATGAACTTTAGAACTGCTTCCTTAGTGCTCAGCCCTTGCTGTTCTCGGTGCATCTCTGGGGCATGTTTCAAGATGTAGTCGCTCCCCCTCTTTGCAATTATCTAAACCACAAAGAAAACAAACAGGTCAGCAACTCTTCAGCGATCCCCCTGGGAGGCAGCTGTGATCAACAGCAAAGCAGAGACTGGAGGTGGAGGAGCCTCAAGATAGTCTGTGTTCACCTCTACCTCCCTGGAGAATAAGCATTTAAACCAGCCCAGATGACATGGATGTCTCCAAAGGGATCCTAGGTGGCAAAATTGTAACAGGCCAGGCCTACAGAGGTCAGGTCAGCTCTTCTCACTTTTAAGTATTGGAATTAGTTTTTCTAACTCTTGGCATGCATAAATGTTTATGGGCAGATAACAGATACTGCTCTGCATGCCAACACAATCAGCAGCAACATCTCCAAACAGGGCAGAAATACTATGTTTTCCTTTTAAGACCTGAAACTACGCATTAGGCTTATTTAGCATTTCCATTCTCAAAGGGATAGATAACACTATCTCAAGGTATTTTTTAATCTATTGGGAGTGGTTGGCAGGCACGTGGCTCTACTAAGCAGCACAAAAATCTGCACTGTGCCTTTTGCTCCTGCCCTGTGGGTGCCCAGTTCTCCTGCTTGCCCACATGCTCTCTCCAGACAAGCCTACAGGGTGGCCCTGACCCCTTCCATGCCTGACTGGCCCCTTTCAAGCTGTGAACAGCTGTGACAGATAAGAGGGACATCAGCTGAATTCACTCCACAACATAACCCACCACTGGGGACATTTAAAACTAGGCTGCACCAGGTACCCAAGAATATCCGGGCAGAAACAACCCATCCTGGCTCAAAACAACTAGACATCATCATCATCCAGTTCCAGCTTCCATTTTATATTAAAACCCTTGTTTACTCTGTTCAGTAACACCTCCTCTGCATGCCTTGACAGATTAGTTGCCCTCCCACGAGGAAGGCTGACCTCCATGGGGGACAGCATCATTGCCATCAGCTGCACGACATCAGCAGAAAGAGACGTGCCAGCTCCACAGTTCAAAGCTGGGTGGGTCAGCCCAGGGCAGCACTGCCTCTCCTCACTTGCACGAGACTTGGGGCAGCCCTTGGCCAAATGATATGAAGCACGTGTTGGAGGAAGCGATTGCGTTGGAGGAGGCGGAGATCTCTCACTATCTCCCCACGGGAGCCCAGGGGCAGGGAGAGAAGCGTCCACACGCCTGCCAGATTTCAGTGTTTATGATGATGTAATAAATCACCCACGTACTTGCTTGGGGTTGTGGCTCAGCACAGGTGAGCCAGGCTTTGCCTTGGCCTTTGCAGTGTTTGCCAAATGAGCAATAGTGTGTGATAAGCCCTTTAACTGCCTCAGAAACAGCACTCACATGAGACCCACCTTTTCCAGCGTTTCATTAGCTACCTCCTGACAGGCAACAACCCATAACGAGGAATGGCATGGGATGAGAGCCTGTTGTTTAGGACAAAGAGGCATTTCTGCACAGTAAGGCAGGCAAGCCAGGCTTTGTGCATAGAGGAGACCATCAGCTTTGCTTCCCCAAGACAACCTCTGTCGCTGTTCTAAACCTTCTTCCCAAAGCAGGTGACAGTGCTGTCTATCAGGGGAGATGCAGCTTGCCTGGGACAAGCAGTGAACCAATAGAGCCTTAACCAGTTTGCCTTCATTTGACAACTAAATCAGCTCTTGGCTTTAAGTCTTGAAGGGCACAAGTCATGTGCACATGCTTATAAACAAACATGCAAACCCATTACCAGGCCTTTCCCTTTCCTCTTACTGCAGTTCAGCCAGAGATTAATGACAAAGCAAGCACAAGAGGCACTGCACAGCAGTACTACCCCTTAGGGTTTGGATTTATTCATCCCTGAGGCAAGCATTACAGAGATGGGAACAAAGGACAATGGACTTGGCTTCCAGGCCCGGAGGTTTTCTGGAGAGCTTAGGTTGTGCAGATCTTGCTGATGTGCCACTACAAATACACAACCCTTTAAGCCATAGAAGAATCAAACACAGACAGCTGCACTGTCAGAGTTATTCATGTAACACCAGCACATTCCCTCACCAAGGAAGGGAATCTCACTGATGAGTGAGTCCACAAAGAACAGGCACCTACCACCAGTGGAAAGACAGGATATATCTCCTGAGGGAAATTCAGGATGATACTCTACCCCACTGCCTGATCACTGCAGTGGGAGTTGGGGAAGTTGCATGGCTGCATTAGGTACCACTGTGACACAGCTCCTGCTGTGTGTACAATCTGTTGACAGAAATATTCCCCCCAAACTTACCCATTGTGGGAAATAAGCCTGAGGTTCAAAATATTTGCCAGCGTGGACCTTCTCTCTGTAGTTGCCCAAGTCTGCCTGTAAGCTGTAGGCAGCCAGCAAGAAGTAGATTTCTTCTTTGTGATTGCAACGAGACATAAGTACTTGCTCTTTAAGATGGCAGTAGTAGAGCTGCCGAGCCACTTTATCACTGCAAAACACAAAGGCAAATTTACCTGAAGAAAGTTCAGATAAGGCCCCTGAAAAAAATCATCCTGCTGAGAAGAGGGATTAAACTTTGACATGTCTGCTGTGTGCCAATGCCACCCTGATACCAGTTATGTGTGTGTAGGGAGCACCAAACCAAGATCAAGGTCTTCTCCCACTAAGTGTTGTACAAACATGGGAAATGGTAGCTTCTACCTTGAGGAGCATGAGATCTAAGAACTTAGGGCAGAAGGCAGATGAAAGAAAAATCACGCCACACCTGTTTTGAAGACTGACTACAATCAAGCACTTCTGTTTCTCTGAAAAACCTGTAGGAGCCAAGAGAGTCAACTCCCTTGAATTCCCAGTCCTGTTTCTTGCACATCTGTCCTCCTTTCCCCTCTAAACTTGGCACTGTTTTATTATTTCATCTTGCCTTAGGCTCAAGGTACTTTTCAGCAGCTAATTCCCTGCAAGGTAGATCAGAAGGTACAGGAGCCTTGGGCTTGTTTTTGTCTTCTTCTTCAAGCTGCTAAATAGGGATGGTCTGATAAAACATAATAACTATGGCGCAGCATTGATAACCCACACATCCCCTGCTCTCAGAGCTCATGGGAAGCAGGCTGCTGACATGTACATACAGATGAGGTGCTGGACACTACAGACTGCTGGAAAAGTATGTGTGTATAGTTTGAAGGGTCCAGGTAACTACCTCTGCACGGCTCCACACACCTCTTAAATTAAACTACTAGTGCAAGAGAAAGTTGCTTGTCGTGCTGAAGGATATGTACATCAGGAGTGGCAGAACGATCTGTAATCTCCCTTTGTACATAAGAGCAAAATAAAATAAGAAGCACTTATCAGCCAAATAGACTCCAGAAGAAAGACTCCCCTGTATCCAAAAAAGAAAGACTATGGAGAGAGAAAACAGAAAACCACAAGCTTTGTTCAAGATGAGAACAAATGCCAAAAAATTTGGTAAAGATTTTAATCCACCTAAATGATCCCAGTTCTTGGCTTGCCCTGGGGTCAGAGCCACACCAGAAGTGCTGATGCAAATTAACTCTGTCAGTTGGTAATTTTTAACTACCTCATCCTTTGTTCTGTACCGTGGGTGAGGGTGGTGCTGTTTTGAGTGCAGCCCATATTCCATGTGAATGGACTCCAAATGCAAAACTCTCTAACTTATGAAGTGATTTCTTTTGTCCAGTTACAAAATTCCATTTCCAGGAGTAGACTGCACAGAGCACTGCTCATACACAAAAAGCAGATCTAAAATTGTTAACAAGTGCTTTAGAGTATAAGTAACTATTCTTGGTATATTCATCTGATGCTTTTCATACAACCACAAGACACAAGCAAAAGAGTGCTAATCATGTTTTGATAATGTCGTCATTCAACCTGCTCTCTAAACACAGATGGAAATGCAGTCACAATTTTCCTAGTGATATGGAGTATGATTCAGGCAGAAAACATTCATAGCTGGGTGAGAAAGTCTGCAAAGGTCTTAAAAAAAAATAAATTCCTAAACAGATTTTTTAAGCTTATTTCTGTGAGCTCACAGAGATGAGGTTAACAAAGAAACATTATTTTTCTTGCCTTTTAAGAACACAATGAATAATTCAAAACACAGTAGCTACTGCAGAAGGGAACTTACCCTATTACTCTTCCATTTTCTACGTAGTATTGTACTCTAAAGAATGCAACAAAAGGAGGGCTGAATTTCTCTGTTCCCTAGAGCAAAGACAGAAGACAAGTTAAATTATGAACAGCATCCAAAATTCCTGTTCCCCTGTCTGGTAATGTTCTCTTGACTACCAAGCTCACTCCTCACACTGCCTTTCATTTTCTACTCTTCGCTCTTAGCAAGTTCTGGGGGGGGAATCTGACTGTCTTGGAGGCTCACAACAATGAGGCACCACAAAACATTCAGACAGGCTGAATCACAAAATATCCAATGAAGAGAAGATGATTTCTGGATAGGAGGGATGAGTCCCAGTGTAGCCTGGGGACACCCAGCCTGGCCCGGAGTTACCTAGCTCAGCACCTGGCAGCACCAGACGCACTAGTGCTGAACACAGCAAGTCTGACACAGCCTCCCTCAACGCACCAGGCAAGGCAGCAGGGCAGTGTGCCATGCTGGCATGGCTGTGGCATTTCCAGGGCACACCTAGGAGTAACCAGCCATCCCTGTGCTGCACCACTGATCAAGGACACGTGCTGCCGTGTTCAGCATTGACTGCCTGAGGCTGAGGCGCACCAGCCCGATATCAACTCTGTGCCTTCTGTTTGGCAGGGCTCGTGTTTAGTTAGTCATTTATTCCTGCAGCCACAGACCAGAAGGCAATGCTGATGTCTGCTTTGCACTGAGGATGTCTGTTAGAGGAAAGCCAGCAAGAGTTCTGAGGTTTTAACTACAGCCTATCTTGCAGACTTACAGCCTTGTTTAAAAAAGAAGGAAAAAAAAGGAATAAAAAAAGGGGAAAATAAAAAAAGGAACATCTTACTACCTCATTCTTTCATCTTTCCTACTTTGCCAGTTGACGGCTCACGTAGATAAGTTTGCTCCCACAGGCAGTTCCAAGGCTTTCCACCTGAAACCTCTTCATAGGACTTAATTCCTTGTCAGCTAACCCAGTCGGATAGGCTAACTCCTCTCAGACTGCAGTACTGCCAACAGTAAGTCATTCAGTCTTTTATGATTCACATCACACCAGAGGTTCAACACTTATCCTGACTTGGAAAGCGCTACACGAATCCAGCCACAAAGCAATCACAAAGCATATCCCATCCCAAGGTGACCAAAACCAACTGCCTCTGCTGGAAGGATGGCCCTCTGCACGACTGCAGCTGTCTTTGAAGTAACTATCACTCATTTGGGAAAAGCAGAGCACGTGTTTGGGGATGAGAGATCCCCAAGCCTCACTAGTCATCTACAAATTTCTCTAAGCAGCAGAAATGGCAAGTGTGCCTACTCTGCAGAAGAAAACCCTTATGGAAGATGGAAAAAGTCATAATGAGCCAATTAAGATATCTGAATCCAACTGCCTGCTATACTTTGTTCTAGACCATGGCTCCTCTAATAAAGACATACACAAACAGGCACTATGACGTCTTAATGACCAGCACTAAACAATTACATAGGCTTGTCTTTATTTCATGAAGCTTTTCCCTCCCTTAACAGGGCTGGCTAGTGTTAAAGAACTGGGACACTTCTCAAACAAAATATCCTTTTTCTTCCTCCACAGTCCTCTTGCATGTACTCTGGAAGAGTCACAGCTCCAGTCATATCCCTTTTAACATGTTCAAGTCACAAAAGGTCATTTAAGGCTGTTTAGCTTAAGGATAACAGTGAGGTCCCAAGACTAAGTTCCGGACTAAATTCAAATTGAAAATTGACCAACTGACCTTCTTCACTTCTGTAGCAGCTAAGCAGCAACCATGTTACTATTGCTCAGGTAAAGTTGTTTAAGGGGCTGTTTCAACTCTTTTAATTAATTTTACAGCTGTGCACAAGTCACTGCATATTGCTACTGAAAAGTATTCTGCAGACCATCTTCAAGAAATGCTTTATGGATCTTAGTTTAAGAGTTTTCACTTCACTCTGTAGTCCAATAAAAAAGTAGCAGCCTCCAAAATAAAACACCCTTCTTACTTTGGTGGTCTCTTTCTTCCACTCCTTTGAAAAGTATTTGCTAAGCTTCTGCTCCAGGTCTATAAAAACATATTCATTATCTGAAAGATAGGAGGAAAGGGATTTCATGTTAAATAATTAGAAATTTTTATTCATTAAATATTTAGATGACTCTACAAGTTATTTTCAAACAATACATTTTAAAACACAGCTGACCAGGGAGTAGACAGGGCAGGAAAAAGAGAGTATTCTTAAGTACATACACTACTCCAGACACTATGGAAGGGAGGTCAGTCATGCCTTGATTCAGGAGATGCTGAGCTAAAATTTCCCAAGCACCTTGGCCAGAAATACAAAATTCTTACTTTATAATTCAGAAACCATTTGCAAAAGGGAAACATCATCTTACCAAGCTAACTGTGCTGTCAGTTTAGCAGATTCAGTTTTTTATTATTATTAAACAAGTAAATCCTACCCAAACTTCCTATTCTACCATCATGTAGCACCATAGTCCAACGTGGCATAAGTAATCAAACAGAGTGGGGTTTGACAGGTTTCATCTGCTACATGTGAATTGGATCCTCTGAGAGGGTGAAAAATAGGACCAAAGGAAATGCCCTTCTCAGAAGTTCTGGTTTCTTCTGCTCACACCCAACTTCTTTCATATGGAAAAAAGATGAATGAAAGGAAGAGAAACCTGGCCTCTCTCAAAAGACCAAAGGACCAGGGCTTGCTCTCCAACATAGTGAGGGTGAACAAGACAGCCTGAATGGCACATCAT